AGTGTTGTGTGTGCGCGTGCTTGAGTGAAGTGTATGTGTGTGAGTAAACGCTGATAAGAGTAAAGGCTGACGTATGATAGAGGGAGAGGGAAGAAAGCAGAGAAAATAGACAGATTATTTTTGTGCCTGTTCTGATCCTAAAAAGAACAGAATGAGCATATTAGATATACAAGACGAGCTCAGTTTTGATGCAAATTATGAACACCAAAGTGAATGGAGAAGTGTGAAAGAATATCAAGAATTTTTGAAGACTTTGAGAAATACAAGAGGCATCTGTAATCATTTTTGGTTGGAATCAGATTTTGTTGACAGGAAAGGGCAGGTACAAAGATTGACAGATTACAAGAAGAACAGTCTTCTTAGAAAATTGATTAGCATTATAAATTTAAGGGACATAACAGAGGAATGGCCAACAATACCTTGGGAAAATATTGTTTATAATAACATAACAGTTCGACAATTGACAGATCGACTAGTGAACCTTTGTGCCCCAACATTTTCCCCAACAGAAGCTGCCTCTAATGTAATTGAAATCCCAGTTGGTCGAATTGTGGTACCCTATGGTAGGAGTAATCTGGCAGGTCAGTGGATAAAGGATACCACAGTAGCTGCAATCCTTGACAACATATGCCTCTCACTGACAGTTGTCACACGAGAAGTGGACTGGACATCTAAAGTGATAGTTAAATTAGATGAAAAGGGAAACATTATGCCAGTGATTATACCTAGTAGGACAGTGAGACGTTTGTTGGTGACAATTGAGCTGAGAGGTGTGCCACAAATATATGCCATTATGGATGGTGAGCAGAGAATTTACACTGATTGCACCCAGCTGTTTCAGATCACTCCCTCACTATATAACACTCACTCTGATCCCTTCCCTCTGCCGAGTATTGTTTCAGCATTTATCACTCCCCTAGAGATAGCTACCTTACGGAGCCCTTGTCATAGCCTTAGCCTTAGCCTTAGCCCTAGTCATTAGCCTTAGCCTTAGCCTTAGCCTTAGCCCTACTCATTAACCTTAGCCTTAGCCTTAGCCTTAGCCCTAGTCATTTGCCTTAGCC